TTAATTTTCTAGGAGAAAAATGATGAAAATTAAGTAATAGGCCAGGCACAGTGACTCAAGCCTATAATCCCAGCACTTTGGGAGGCCAAGGTCAGGGGATTGCCTGAGCCCATGGATTTGAGACCAGTTTGGGCAACTTGACAAGACCTCATCTCTACAATAAATCAAAAAATTAGCCAGGTGTGGTAGTGCACACCTGTATTTCTGGCTACTTGGAAGGCTGAGGCAGAAGGATCGCCTGAGCCCAGCAGGTCAACACTGGGGTGGTCATGAGTATGCCACTACACTCCAGCCTGGGCAATGGAGTGAGACTTCAACTCAAAATAATTTTTTAAAAATGGAAAAGAAAAAATTAATAAAGCAGAAAACCTGGATAGACAATTAACTATCAAATTAAGATATCAACAAATGTCATCCAGTTTTGTCTCCTGGGATAGATACCACTCAGTTCTATCAAATTCTAATGAACCAATAATACCCAAGGAAACCATGCCAGCCAAATGAAATGAGAGAATTTATTTTATGAAGTTAATATATCACTAATAATGAGGATTCCAAAAACTGGAAAGTAAGATTCAAACTCCCTATGAATACATATTTATAAAAACATAAAATACTAGCAAACTAAATTCAGTGATCTACCATGCACATTGAGATGATGATCTTATAACATTTTTAGAACATTCTAATGTAACACTAATCTGTTAAGGTAACCAAATCACATTGAAGAAAATCATAACAAACTGATAGATAGGTGCCAAAGATACTTATTTAAATTAAGCAGCTATTTCTTATATTCATGGAATGATATTACTTTCCCATGTTAAAGCTGATCTATCAAATTAATGTTAGTAACGGTGGAAATATTTCTGTGAAAATGAAAAACATGTCCAAAACGTATCATATTGGTATTAGTGCTTTATACTATTTCTGTAGTTGGTCAATGTATAAGACATAAAATGAAATAAAGGAAAGTCAAATTAAAATTATCTTTAATATGATTATTTTTAGCTGCTCAAAAGTCTTGGAGATTTACTTTTAAAAAAGTGAATATTTCACTGAGCTGTACAGTGTCCACAGATAATTTATGTCCACCTGGGTTGTATATTGTTTTCTTAAACTCCTGTTTATTTGGAACCTCAGAATGTGACCTTATTTGGAGACAGGGTCTTTGAAGATGTAAGCTAGTTAAAAAGTCATACTGCATCAAGGTGGGTCCCAATCTAAAGACTGATGTCCTTATAAGAGGAGGGAAATTTGGACATAGACGTTAACAAAGGCAAGATGATGTGAAGACAAACGGGGGAGGCCATGTGACTGGTGTGGTATGTCCACAAACCAAGGAAGACTAAGATGGCCAGTGGCCACCAGAAGCTAATAAGACACAAAAAGTATTTCCCTCTAGGTTGTAGAGAGAGTATGATGCTGCTAACACCTTGACTTCAGACTTCAAAGCTGCAACACTGAGAAAAAATAAATTTCTGTTAATCTAATCAACCCAGCATGTAGTGCTTTGTTATGCAGTCCTTGGAAACAAATACAACTCTCAAAATCATCCAGCTAAAACATGACAGTGTCCTGCTCTAAACTGGAAACTAGCTTATCCAATTATGCTTTTGTTTGTTTTAACAACAGGATTTTAAAATGTTGTCCTAGGCATCACTAATGTTGTGCTCTACAAGATGTTTATACTTCTGCGCGCATACACCAAAGATTTCTTAGTCAAATAAGTTGAAAATATACTTAGTTGTATAAAGAAATAGTTTCTATAATGTGGGAATTCTCAGTCATTCATATGCCAGCATGTTTTTAAATCTCCCAAAGACAGATAAAATTTGTAAAATTTATTCCATTCACTTGACTGCAGAACATTCTTTCTTTGAATGACAAGTTGACATCTTTAGGACATTTTTATTCAGATGAACAGTGAAAGAAATGCTAAACTACTGCATCCTACCTCAAAAATAATCAAGCCTAACTGGATGATTGCCATCTTCATAGGGCTATCTGCTCACAGAGGAAGGCGTCTCCCAGAGCATTTCCTTATATACATATGCCCTTTCTTATCCTGTAGTATGGTATTTGTAAATTTGTTTTATTGCTTCTCTTACTCCCTACTGCTGAAATCCACATAAAGGGAAGTGGTATTAACAGGGCTATGTCTTATCAATCTTCAAGTTATAGCTCTGTTACTAACAGTGGAATACTAAGCAAGTTTAATTCTGAACTTCAACTTTCTCACCAGCCAAAATAAGAATAATAACTATTATGTTGAGGTAATGTGAGGATGAAATAGAATAACACATATAAAGGAAATATTCAGGACTTGATATGCATTATATTCAATACACAGTAACTCCCTTTCCTGTCATCCTGAATGTGCTTCATTTATAGAATATACTCAATAAATTTATGTTGATTGAATAAGTGAATACAACAGGGATAACTTAATTTTCTAAATTTGATAGTAGGGTCTTAAAGGAAATTCGGTATGTTCCTTCAAAATTATGCTTTTTAAATGAAACATTTTATGCTTATAAGGATATTAATCAATGGACAAATTATAGCATTTAGAAAGGTGGAACTACTTTGATTCATGACACAACTATAGACAAAGGCTGTCAGCTTCTTCCTGACGGCACACTTGTCTGGCATTAGCATCAGTTGCATCATGACATACCAGAAATTGGCAACAGCCCACAGGTCTATCTGCTGCTTTCCTCACCTGGTGCCTATGGAAAATAATGGAATACAAAATTATAAGTTGTTTCTTCTCACCACAGTGATGTGAAATTCAAACAACTTATGTTTGCTTGTTGTAGTTTCCCCACTGATATAGTAGAATTAAACTTTCCAAGAAAACGCATCTTCAAATTATAGTAAAGAACAAAAGAAAAATATAATTTACATTGTAGAGATTCATGTAGCAGCATTTGTATGGTTTTTTTGAAAAATAAATTAAATTTGTTTTTCGGCAGCAGACATTATTTCCTTGTATGAATGGCCTCTCTTGATGCTGATCTATATGGTAATCTGGTCCTCACAGGCTGCTGCTAAATTTTCCAGCACAGGCCAACTGAATTAGTTTCTTCATTTTATAATTCTTAACCAAGACAACAGTTCAGATTCTAAACTAGATGATGAGTTGGGGTTCACTATTATTTTAGTGAGATCTGCTTCTCAGGCCTCTGAAACGATACTTCGAACTTCAGTATTCAGAACTAAAAGGAGCTATACATATTACAGTCTGTTCTAAGAAAGAACACATTGCAAGATACATTTTAAATGACATCTGAATGCAGAAATACCAATCAGATAAATATTCCATTCTCTTGATTTGAGGGCATATATTATGACAGAAAGTTTATCCTTGAAAATATTAGAAATCAGTATTATCTTAACTGTTAAACTAAGCCATTTAAAGAAGCATATTAGTCCTGATGTTATCTTTAATTTACTTTATTTTTTAGTTCTTTCGAAAGCTAACAATGATCATTTTAGGCCATTTTTCATTGTTGGGCAAGTTCCTTGCTAGGAGATGTTAGAAAGTTAGCTTTCATTTTATACATCCAAAAATGGTATCGAAACAATGTTTAAACTCATGTCTTTTCTTGTTCTCCGCCTTCTAAACCAGAAAGAACATAGAGTTTGCTTTGTAAATTTAAACAATTTTATCTCAACTATCATTACTGTAAGAATGTATGCATATAAAAAAAGGAAACACTATTTCCATGCCAAGAACAATAGAATTTGGAAATTCTTAAAGAGTCCTATGAATAAAATAGAACTGTCATCTAGGAATTTCCAAGGCTTCTTGAGGTAATCTGCCTTTTTTTTGGTCAGTGTGTTAGAGAGCAAGTCCATGAGTATTTTGATGGTAGAACCATTCTTACTCTCATAAAGGCAAACTGCCTTAAACAATTTGAGCAATTGTTCAAATGTGGTTTCTTTAAGAGAGAAGTCTTCATCTGAATACCCATTAACATGCTACCAAAGGTTATTTGCAAGTATTTTTAGTTGTGGACACTATCTCATATATAATTATGATTTTACAGATACTATCTATCTCATATATAATTATTATTTCATATATTTTTATTTCGATTATAGCATTCAAATAAAACTTAATAATTATTGTTATTGAAAATTCTAAACCATTAATTTTGTTACGTATGACCAAATTAATCATGCATTGTTTTTATGCAGGATTGTACATATTTTACTTAAAAATGAAGCATATCAAAAGTCTCCTAAACATATAATTTTATGAGCTATGATGCCATCAAACCACAATGTTCAGCTTTGTAATATTTTCATTGCCACTCTTACCTTTACAGTGTACCTGCATTATTATAAAAAAGATGTCTTTGTGATTCCCTCTAGTCTGGAAATTGGAGAAAAACCCACTTAAACTGTGTTAGTAATAAAACGTTTCAAAGAATACCTGGGAGATAGCTTGGCATTTAATGTAACATATTTAACTTCTACAACGTGTTACAATAAATTAATTCAAATTACACATTTTATCTTTTGTTTTACATTTTCTCAACTCTAAAATTTTTTTTTAAAAACTGTTCTAAAAAATAATTATGATGATTAATGATAACTTTTACTTGAGGCAGCATTTCCCAAACTAAACTGTGTTGCAGAATAATAAGCTTCCTAAATTTTGTGCCAAGACCTGAGAAGCAAAAATGAGAAGACAGAAGAAATTAATTATATTAACTAAATAGGTGTTTGGAGGAGGAAACATATGTTATGCAAAATATTTTCTTATTGATTTTGAAATGGGACCAGATTTGTGGACAGAGGAATTTACATAAGCCATGGAAATAGCTGTATATAACAAACTAAAATATTCTATTCAAATGTTACTATCAAGATAATATTTTAAGGTTTGAATATTACATGATATAGCAAGATCACTGTAATTTTGAATTGTATGCATTCAAATCAGTTAAATTTCTTCCTTCTAACACACATTTGGTAATATTTTCCAGGTACCTCTGATTGGGGCTGTGATTTTGAATTTGATCTTTGCTCCTGGAAGCAAGAGCAGGATGAAGACCTTGACTGGAATCTGAAAGCTAGCAGCATCCCAGCTGTGGGCACAGAGCCCGCTGCAGATCACACCTTGGGAAATTCATCTGGTCATTATATCTTTATAAAGAGCTTGTTCCCTCAGCAGCCCATGAGAGCCGCCAGAATTACAAGCCCGGTTATAAGTAAGAGAAGCAAAAACTGCAAGGTATGGAAGAGGGGGAAAAAAAAAAGAGAAAGGAAAAAAAACTAGAAATATTATGAACAACTATCCATAAAGTGAAAAATAGAAAACAGAATGGTTGGGCCCAGAGCAAAGATGAGATTGAATTTATTCAACTTGGAATATGTGAGGGAAGGAAAAGAAGACGTAAGAATGAAAGGGAAGGATTGTTAGAATTGTATGAAAAATTTCTCCTAGAGAAAAAATTTCATGGGTATTGAAATGTTAGAAACTGCTGGAAAGTTCTGTGATTATTCATAACCATAGCTAATGCAAAAGAAGAAAAATACCAGATTTGTTTCCTCAAGGAGTTTAGTACTTATTAAAACTATGGGAATACCACCAATGGAAAAAAATTAAGCTGTCAGTATATAATTAAATATCTCCAATATTAGTTAATATATAATTAAATATCTCTAATATTAGTTAATATTAGAGATAGTTAGAGCCACAATAAAATAGTTGAAGTCTTTATGAAAAGGCTGAACTTGTCCCTAAAACAAGAATTTCTATAGGCAGCAAGAAAACATGGCTTGGAAATTAGCCTGTGAAAATGTGAAGTAAATATCTGTGGAGTATTAAAAGTATGAATAGGGTTTTATGACTCCTTGAGATTAATAGCTTCATATAATGACTACACAATTGCAGAATTTTCCACTTTTCTTTATTTATTGTTTGCTTGGTTATTTGTTTATATTCCATAAAAGAATTTTGAGTCAACTAGGCTAGGAAATAAATATAGCTTTACATATAGTATGATTTAAGCACTCAGAGATGATTTCATGAGAACCGTACTTACAGGAGTCTGATATATACATAAATGTGTTATTTATTTATATTTACAAAGAGATATGTAAACACCATGAGATCTGAACACATGTATTCTGACTATGGTGTTGCTCAATGTTTTAACACTGAAAGGCAAGTGAATTACATCCATAAGTTATTAGCTGATCAATAACTTATGGTTGGGAGACAATTGCATGACTTAAGCCTTTATTGTCTTCAACTTGTACTTTTCTGATGTGCCTCTGTCCACAATTGAGAAAATCCAACCATGGGAGGGAGACTTATTGAATAGCCTTCAACATCCTACTACTGCCATATCTTTTTAATTTTTTTTTTTAATTTTAATGATGTGGGGTACAATTCTGGGAATATACCTAGAAGAACTCAAATCACTCTATTAAAAAGATCCCTGTCCACTACATATCTTAATACAAGTGAACATTTGCTCTGTCTTAAGAGTTTCTCTGTCTCATCTTGAGTTGATAGCATAGTTTAACTTTCATGGAGAAACCTCATCTCTCACACAGACAGGATTTTCAGCAAGGGAAGTGACATGAACAGGTGAGAGTTTTAGTGAGATAACTCAGCAGTCTGGAATGGAAGTAACAAATCATGTCAAATAATATTAAACTTTACTTAATTTGGTTAGCAAAAATTGAGTTTTAATCAAATATAGTTTTTCTCTATTTGCGTTTTCTTCCAGATTACTTGATACTTTCTCAGGAATAAAATCCAACACACCAGATTTTATATATGTTGATTCCATATCTGTAAATCTAGACCTCTACATCCACAGATATTCTGAAAAATCACAAGTTAGTTTTAGTCTTAGAAATCTAATTAAATATTATGCATAAAATATAAAAATCCCAACTTGGCATCTAAACTTTTCTATTTAGACACTTTCTCTGAAAATGTTGAAGAGTTTTTTTTTATACTGTAGTAACTAAGGAATTCATTCACCTCTGTCTTCCCCAGGTCTCAGAACTATAGTCCCCACTGTTTTAAACATCTGTGTGAGAATATTAATATCAAAATTAATGATGAATGGTTCGTTTTATGAATATTTATGCTATAGATTGAATATGAAAGGTTATGCTGGGAATGATTTGGTCTCTCAAATTAAAAATACGTTTTATCAGATAAGTAGAGTGACCTTCTAGATTTTCATAAGAATCATCTCTGCCCCTCTTCACCTTGTGGAATACCTTTAAGCAAAGAAAATCCATTTTGCTTTCCCTTTTGGTGAATGAATGAATGTGAGAATTACAGACAGATTGATGAGAGAGGAAGTCAGACCTCTGAGTTACTCTGAAATTTCCAGTGAAAATATTTCTTCAGAAGAATTAATACTTAGCATATTTTTATTTGCTCTCATTATCCAGTGATTAGGTTATATTGTCATCAGTTATTTGCCTTGGAAATAGAGGTGTTGGTGTATTTGTTTGCATGTTAACCTGAGGATAACCTGAACTTGAGGAGATAGAAAAGTATTTATTGAGACATAATACACATGACTTATTTTGTTGTGTAAATAAGAAGACAAATGCAAAAGTAGAACACTGTGCAGACCCTGTCTGTAGCTACAAGGGATCCATGCAGAAGTGTGCCATGCAGCTTGGCGTGTATCCTCTGGGGCCTGTTGATGCCAACCAAGAGGCTAGCCACTGATCCATTTTGTTTCTCACTCAGATGAGTCATGCCCTCAGGTTTCACCAGTCCTAGGGCAATTAACAATGACCTTAGAGCTCATGTTTGAAAAGTTAGTCAATAAAAGAAGTGTTTCTGGATTTTGGAATAATACTTGAAGATTCCATCAGCAAGGAAATTTGGGTAGAGACACTACATGGTTCATCTACTCTTTGAAATAGTGAACTGCATATATTATTGAATTTGATTTCTTACCCTTTAAACACTCATTTTTCTTTTTCTGAACTATGCTGTACATCACTGCTAGTATTTCAAAAATTTGTTTTTCCTCTGTGAGGATGACCCTTCATAGCTATTTTCTCTCATTCACATAAATGACAAGGCAAAAGCTTTAAAGACTTTGAATTTTCTCTGTTCCTAAACTGTACTGTTCTTTTCTTCCACTATGTAACAATCACTAAAACTCTAGTAAATCCTGTCTTTGCAACATTGAAATATTAATCCCTGAAAATACTTTATTAATTTTTACTTAGAGAAAAGCTCCCCAGGCTTCTCTTATAAGGCCTGTTTCTAGCATTTCAAGTAAAATTTGGATAATTGCTGTTCTGGTGGTTTTACTATACTTAAGTGAAGCCCTGAGGAACTTGTAGAACTGAAAGTGTGTTTCAAGTACAAGAATGATAGTAGAATAAGCAAGTGAATATTCTACTGTTTTGAAGAAAATGATTTATCGTGAGATTGAAAATGATCTTCTATATTTTCAGCTATTTCTTAATCATAAGAAGTCTTTATGTAATACATTGCTATTTAATGATATTTTATCCCTTTGACAATGGGCTCTATGAGTTTATAGAGAAATCCTGCTTTTAGAAGTTACAGAAAGTAGACTCAGTTCATTTTTTTCCACTAAATTTCTAGTTAATTCTTACTGTACTTTCTTCACATCCAACAAGTGATTTGAGGCTGACCTAACTTCACTCAGTGTTAAAGTGTTCATAGAACAATAGAATATAGAGGTCCGATTTTCCTTCAGGAATCTTTTGATAAGGGAGAGGGCAATGTGATATAATTGAAAATAAAATAGAAACAATTATACTAATCATACATGTAATATTCCTGTTCTTGGTTCCAGATCATTTTTCATTATCACATGTATGGAAATGGCATCGGGGCACTCACTTTGATGCAGGTATCAGTCACAAACCAAACGAAGATCCTCCTTAATCTCACAGTAGAACAAGGCAATTTCTGGCAGAGGAAAGAACTATCATTGTCAGGTGATGAAGACTTCCAACTCAAATTTGAAGGGAGAGTTGGGAAAGGCCACCGTGGTGACATTGCACTTGATGACATTGTGCTTACAAAGAGTTGTCTATCATCCCATCACTCCGTAAAAGAAGAACTGGCCATGCCTCTTCCCACAGGTATTTTTTTATTGTATTTGGTGGTTTTGCAGAGTGAAAGGTAGATGGAGGAAAGAAAATGGGAACAGAGTGGCAAAAGTACCTGTTAATTTATTGCTTTCATAAAGGAAAAAATAAGCTATCTTTGAATGTAAAAAATTCTCTTTCAAGCTTTTACTCATAAAAAGTCTTCAAATTTTTTTCTAAGCATTGGCATATTTATCAGTTCCTAACTGCTCTGTTTAGTTAGCTTCCTCATGGATCAATAATAAGAGAAGACACCTTTGTTTGTAGCCTGATTAAGAATTAATCTTGAGCAACTATCTATTCATGTTTAATAAAATGTAAGAAAGTAAAAAACAGAGTTATTCAATGTTAAGTAGATGTGATTGTGATAAGAATATTCTTTGTAGACCCATAGTCATGTCAAATTGAATGGTTGAGTCTATATATTGAAGTAGTTTAGATGATTGAATATGTCCATATGTCCTTTTAACCTAAAATACCTTTTGGTAATTTATCTAAAGAATTGTAGTCAAATTTTGAGTTGGCAGATGTTCAATATAATAACATACAGTGACAATGCTGTAAGTAGAACTAGCAAGCACCATTAATCCATATGATATATTAAAGGTATGAGATGAAAATAAGTACAGTATATATTATTAAAATGGAAAAGGAGCAAATTGTGTTAATAATATGACAGATATTAATATTTAAACCATGAGTTTATTGTGGAAAACCAAGTGCAGTTTCACTGGTGTCTAAATAATATATCTTATAATTAGTGAATATAAGAATGCTTTATTAGGAATAAACTAATTTGCTTGCTCTGACTTTTAACACGGTGAGAAGAATGGGAAACATTGCCATTTCTGCCTTTACTTCCACATTTATTTCAAAGGGGGTGTTTTAAATTGGTTATGAGGAATTTCTAGATGAATGTTTCTCAGTTGGCAATTAAACAGGCTGTTTGTCTGACATGTTTCAAACGCTACTTAGAATAGTATAGAGGATATTAAATAAACATTTCAAGACATTAGTGAAATGTCTTGAATTCACGTAAATATAATCTATGTAAGTATACTTATGTGAATTTAATGCAAAACTGTTTCAGACACCTCAGACTAATCCACTTCCCTAAAAAAAAAAAAAAAAAAGCCTTGCCTTCCATGGTGTGTGGAATGTTGAATGACAGCTCTATTAAGTCTTACAATGGCCTGGTCCTTTGAATAGTAATTTTTTGATCATAATAAAAAACTTATAGCATCTAAATAGTGAGGGAGCAAAAGTTTTATGTTGAACACTTCAAAATTTAACGAACAACAACTAAGTTTGATACAAGAGGAATAAGTCAATCTTGTTGAGAATATTAAGACCTTAAAACTGTTAATTCTTAATGAAATCCTGTTTTAAAAAAACTTCGGAAATGAACATAAGAGTATCTACAAAGTGGAACCGTTTATATATTAATTATTAAATTAAGGGCACTTATGAATAATGCTAGAGCTCTTTGTATATCATTACGATATTTGAGACATATTAAGCTTTTTGATGAATAGAAAATTTAAAAAAATTCTGTTCTTAAGAATTCAATATGGCAAGGGGAAATGGGAAAGATACACCAAATAACTTTAATACTGGGGAGGATATAATTAAGTGCCAGGAGAAATATAAAGACTTTAGAGGTTAAAGTGAAGGTAAAACATTCAGTGGAGAGTGTCTAACTTGAGACTTATTTATGGTGTGTTCGGGAATTTGGAACCACACTTGGAACTCATAGGAGGAAAAGATCCCTTGGGTTTGTAGGGCAGGAGTGGACTCAGTAGAGTAGGGCCTGATAAAGAACATGGTAGAGAGCATTTTAGGCAGGCTAAGAGACCTGAGAGAGGGCAGAGACGGTGTCGTGGAGACTTCAAGGTGAACTGTGGGTGACACTTTATCTGAGGCAGGCACCTCATGTAGCTGAGTATCAGCCATATTGCAAAGAAAATGGAGGTAAACAAGGACCACAGTGAATATTTTTTCTCAAAATGAACCTACATTGAAAGTGTATTGAATGGTCTTAGAAAGAAAACATACATACAAATAAAAAATAAGAAAGAATTAATATAAGAATATAAAAAGTTATCATAGAAATATTAACTATATAAATATAATTAATGTAATTTATTATATAAAGAGTATGCATTTATATAAAGTATGATCATTGTTAGGAGTGTCTATGGCAGAAAGACTTCAAGAGAAAAAAACTGTATGTGTTTATTTCTATTAAGAGCATTCTAAAAATTGAGATAATTTAATATTTTCATAATGATCCCAGCTGTGATTCTTGCATTCAAATGAAACAGATAAAAATATATTTGTATGGAGTTCACTCATGCCTGCAGAAATTAAAAGTATTCACCCATCTCTTGGTAAAAGTGAAATGTTAAAACTTACTTAGAGATTCAAACTGTAAAGTGATTCTCATAAACAATGACTTCATTGTGAGTTTAGAAAACTATTGGAGTCTCTGATATTTTTAGGTATGGGTATATGTGTGTGAGTGTGGTTGGGGGGAATGATACTGGTAGAGGTGATAATCTCAGTATCCTTAAAAAAAAGTTAAATGGTTTCTTTTGATCTTCATGAAAGTTGGTACAAGAGAGATAAGGAATATCATGGACATTCCCATATAAGTACAACATGACCATGAGCATCCAATAAAGTATTATATGACCATGAGCATCCAATATAGTATAATATGATCATGAACATCCAATACAAGTATAATATGACCATGAACATCCAGTACAAGTATAATATGACCACAAGCATCTAATAGAAATTAACACAAGTCACAAATATAAAACACAATTTAATTATACATTTTCTAATAGTCACATTCAAAATAGTGAAATAGATTTTAATAATATATTTATCAAACTCAGTCTATCCAAAATATTGTCATTTTCACATGAAATAAATATAAAATATTAATGAGGTATTTTACATTCTCATTTTCATACCAAGCTTTTAAATCAAGCATATATTGCATGCTCACAGCCCATCTCAATTTGAATTTCTCAATTGCAACTCAATTGCTCAGTTGCCGCTTGTGGCTACTGATTACCCTAGTGGACAGCACAGGAGATAAAGTGAATATTCAAGGGTACTTTTGAGTCTGTTCTTAATAATATGGTTCTATTAATTGAGGTGAAATTTATAAATTTGAAAGAATTGCAGTTATATTATTAGTCAGATAGAAGCAAAAAAATGAACCGCAAGGTCAAATGTGAAGGTACAAGTATCATATTCTAGTGGACTAGGTATTAATAACTAATTCTCCTTTTATTAGCTGTGTTTACTCGACTTATCTGAGATAATTTCATCTTTGAAATAGAATTTCTATCTATTTCTTAAGGCACTTGCTAATTTAAATAGGTAATTGTCCATATAATTTGCATGTTTTAATGTTCAATATATGGTAGGAATTTATTCAACAAAAATAAAGTAATTTTACCATGTCCTATATTGTTGGCATCTTTACCAGTATTCTTTAGGTGTTGTAAACATTTGAGAGTAACCCTCCATTCTTTATATTTTATTAAGAAAATATTTCTTTCATTTATTTTGGCAAAATTATTTTTCTTGAAGAGATCACAGCATATAATTATTATATATTATCATTGCTCAATATTATCACTTGTTAAAAAAGACTCTAATTTATTTTTGATGTCTCATGAGTTTGTGTGTGTGTGTGTGTGTGTGTATGTATTTATTTTTGAAATGTTTAATGATTCTTCATTTCTCATTACTGCAAAAATACTTACAACTTGCACAGAGTGAACCAGGGTAAATGGCTTTATGTTCCACAGTGGCAACATCCATTAAACTTTTGAAAACTACTCTTGTTCATACATACTTTTTTCATCTATATTTATGTGCATAGGCTAACAACTCCATCAAGGATAGCTTAAAATAGAAAAGAGAAGAGGAAAAACATATATATTTAGGAAGATGCAATTGAGCTGAATCTAGAATCAGTGATTCTAATTAATCAAAATAGACCTAGGGCTTTATTAGCAAAAGTAATATTAAAGTATTATTGAGTCCCTAGAAGTCGTATTTAAGAGCTCATTTTGATGGCAATTTTCTTAATTGCTAAATGATGAAGGATAAAAATAATTATTTAATGAATTTTAATAAGGAAAAAACAACCGACATTCCTCTTCTACATGTCCATATGCAAATTCAACCACTATCATATTCTCTACTTATTGACAGACATTTAATAAACTCTATGTATTGAGGGCAGGGGTCAAATTGTGTGTGTGTGTGTGTGTGTTGTGTGCGTGTGCGTGTGCGTGTGTGTGTGTGTGTGTGTGTGTTTAGTCACCACAACCACTTCCAAATAGGAGTCATTCCATGGACCTGTTTTGGGATATACCATGGTAATCGACTTTTGTTAAAAATAAAATGTATGTAAAGCAATGGAGGCTGAATGAATTACCTCCTCTCTCAGGTCCCTCATTTCCCTGAAATACTTGGCAGCACTTTAAAAGGCTGCTACATACTGATGAGAAGACTGGCAGAACAACTCGGTTGGAGTCCTGAGTTTGGGAAATCTGGCTGATTGTCCAGGACTTAGTGATTTAGTGGCGTTTAGTGCAAAGTGCATGTGTTGTATTCTGAGGTTTAATGACATAAACTTGGGTCTTGGCACTGCTTCCTAGTTGTGCAGTGTCACCTAATCTAATTCTTATATTTCTTTTCTGTACAAAAGGAACAAAATGGAATCTGCATCTGAGTCATTTGAAAAATAATTGAGATATTATATATAGTATGTCATCAACAATGCTTGTCATATTGTCAGTGTTCTGTGTTACTTTTATTTTTTTCTACCTTTCCTTTTCCCTGCTAGAGACATTATGAAATTAAACTGTACATCAGTTGAAATTTCTTAAGGGTACTTGTTCTTTCTTCCTTATGCTCCATCACTCAAAGCAAATATTTAGATCTTCTCTGCCTTCCTACAC